ACAAACCTCTCGGCCTTTTTCAAGATAGGCAATATTCTTCTTGAGAAGCGTTGGGAAACCAGGAATGCTGCAGTGAATGATGAGGGGTGTTCATAAATCAGGCTTTAATACCCTGTTCCCTGGCGGTGCAATAACACTGCAGTGCCAGCATAAACAGGCATTTTCTTTCTTCCCTCAGTCTTCTCAACTGTGTCAGACTGCAAGACGATGCAGCGAACAAGAGAGCAGAACTGATCTGGATGAAGAACAACACTAAAATAATTATTCCTTTTAACTTGGACTGAGTTCACCGAACAGTCACAACACCTATGCCAGCACAATGAAGGTGGTAGCATGAGAAAACAAACAGCAAGAAGGAAGTTGGCACAGCTGCCAGAAGAAACGCTTGTCTAACCAGGACGTCATTCAAATTGTAGACCTTTGCACTACAGGCTCTCTCCATTCCTCCACCACAAACTGGATCTCCAATCAAATACTCAGGTCTCCTGTATTACTGGGTAAAAGTACAGCAACGTGATATGGATTGAATGGGAGAGGTAAACAGGAAAAAAGTAAGCAACAAATACCAACACAGTAATGCAGTTTAATAAACTGCTTTAGGGACGTCTTGGCTGAATGTGCTTCAGCCCTTCTCCTCCTAAAAAGCTGAAATTAGGTAACTGATTGGAATACACAATCTCCCAACCCTGCATCCGTGCCTTCTACCTGTGAAAAATAAGATTCTGCAGGTGAGTAGGGAAGTTGATGAATTTGCTCTGGTCTTTTTCCATGATGTAGGGATGGGATATAGCCAAGGTATGCTCCTTGACTTCATATTTTTTTCAAGTTAGATATATCGTTATCCTTAGCTAAGGATGTGGGAGTTTTTTATTCAGCTTTTTGAGTTCTTATTCTGTCAACATTAAAGAAGCCAACATTTTGGGGTAGTACTGCACAGAAAAGGGAGAAAAGGACATCTGAATGACAAACAGGTTAAGAGAGCCCTGCACACTGTATCTTTATTTGTCAAAGAGTTCTAACCATGCTTCTCTCTAACTCCAAAAATAAGGACAAAGCTGATGGCTAGAAGTTTTAATGCTATCTCTATCGAGCTTACGTTTTAGACAGTTGGTCTTACAAAATGGGAAGAAAACAAACCTGTATGAGAACCAAGGTACGATGCATGTCTGGCAATAACCTGGTTTGAGATTTCTGGTTACTTCCACATAAATAATGCCATCTTTACTTCTCACAACTACTATTCAAGAATCAAGGATAAGCTTTAAGGACCAGAATTTTAAAAGACGGTGTAACGGATGCAAGCTGGGCACATCTGGGGTGGGAATGCAGACCACGGAGCAAAACCGCACTTCACCAAAAGCCATCTATGAGGGCCCCCACAAGGTGTCCAAATGTCTGTTTCCTAAAAAACCCAACCCTTCCCTATCCTCTCAATCTGCCAAATGCAGTGCACTCATTTCTCTATCAAATATGGTTACAACTCTGCTTCAGCCACGTCTTCTGAAAACAGAAAGGTGATTTACCTGTAGCTGCTGATCAAGATGCAGTGGCAGTGTTTACTTTCAGGGTGCACTTGAGACCAAAGAAATTCCATCTCAGCAACGCCCACCTACTTGCATGCCACACCTGAGGCTGTGAACAGGGCACAGCATGCCCTGCATCCTCTCCAACCCCAAAGCCTGGAAACTCCTCTTTGTGAATATGCACGTAGACAACGCATCCAAACGATAAATAGGGAAGATAAACTGCCTTTCTTTCTCTGGCAAATGCACGGTTATCTATATATGCACTCCCAGTAGGAGATCACTGTTAGCACATTCATAAAAGCCTTTTTTTTTTTTTCCCTCCTTCTTCTTTTGGAAATGAAACTACAATACCAAGGAAAAAAGGGTAAAGAGAGCATGCCAGTTCTTTGAAATCCAAGAAAGCACTTCCAAGAACGGAAAAGCTGCCCTTGAAACCATTGCAGAACACAGACTCATCCCTCAGAGGCAACAGCTGTCTTTGAGGGACTGAATCCATCCAGAATAAGCAGAGGTCCACAGCCAGAAGTTCTACTCAAAGCAAAGCCTACATATTGCCACACTGTAAGAAATTTCAAGTCAAACAGCAAGGAAATCATACCTTCAGCCACTTAAGAGACTCTTACAGAAAGCTAAGTTCCGTTCATCTGAGCTTAACAACATGAGTTTTTTAATAAAAAGGGTTTACCCTCATGCTCAAGGATTTGTGTACAAGGCACACAGCTAAAGCACTGTTTCCACTCTACTCTTAGGAGTCCATAACAGTTTTTTGTTTGTTTGTTTTGTTTTGTTTTTAAGGGAAAAGGGCCTTCCCTCACTTCTTTTACTGTCAAACACATCCCTTCCATTGACAAAGGCAAACTTGACTGTGTTAGAAACAGAATATGTTAGATATCACAGATCAGGAAAGAAAATTCCACCCTTATTTTCCCTTGGTATTAGTACATTCCACAACGTCCTCTGCTTTATCAGCAGAAATACCTTTAAGTGGCTCTTCTGGAGCTTTTAGACCAAGTCTGACTTCCTTTAAATACTGGAAAGGTTCCTCGGCTATCATCCCAGAAGCTGTGCTAACCGGGGAGTAGTCTTGAAAAACCAACCTTTTTTTCTTTTCCTTTTAATTGCAGAGCTGTCTCAAAGACATTCACCTCTAAATATTCTTACAGAGCTCCCTGGAACAAAGCCAAAGGCCAAACCCAGCACCAGTCTCCTCCTCAGTTTGTAATTCAGAAGAAATGGAAGCTCTATTGCAGACCATGTCCTCCACAAAAGGAGGGGGGGTAAAACTAAGGCATAAAAACCTTAAAGGCTATTTTAATCTTAAATTATTCAGCTTGGTCGAACAGCAGTCATTCCAATGGAATGTAGGCTTGTACTCCAACAACCGTTTACTGTTTCTAAAATAAATGTCAGGACATGGTAATACATCAGTGCTAGATCTTTACTATGGAGTACCTGCACATTCAACAGCCGTTGTGCCAGTTTAACAAAATAAAAAAGAACCACATTTGTCAAAAGAACAAAGTTTAACAGCAACCCGTCACATTCTTCTTTATCAGGAAAGGAGAAGAATACAAAAATCCCTTTACTTTTAGAAACAACCATCCAATTAAATGTGCATATAAGAAAATTAAAAATTAAGGTAAGCCTCAAGTAACTGCTACTTGCCTGTTCGTTTGATCCTGGTTTTATAAGAAATATGACACATTTTTTGCTTAAAACATACATACGTAACTGCAAATTGAACTCGGCATTGGATTTCTTACAGGGAGTGTAAGTTTTGGATCCTTAAAGCCTATAACCACAGGTATTTCTGAGCTGGAGAAACTAGATGTAATCTCTGCTTTTGTTTTTCAAGTTTCTACATACTTCTTTGGAAAGACAACCTTGATTTCAAGTACCATATAAAGAACCCTAGACATTTGTTCACGGTAGAGGCTTGCAAGGTTAAAAACATACTGAGACATAGTTCTTCTTCCCTTGTACCAAGCAATACACTTTATGAAATGAATCAATCACATTAGATATATTCAAACCACTACACTTCAGCCAGGGAGCAAAGATGTTTCAAGTGACACCCAAAAAACTCTATTCCATGTTTTTGATTATAATAATTATTGATTATAATGATTGCCATTGTTGTACCTCTAATCTGTTCGTTCATCAAGTTATCCCTAAAGACAAATATGAGCTTAATAAATTGACAAGAGACAGATTTTCTGATCATCATCAATGAAAATCCTTGCATTTCACAGGTCTATGATCATGGTCACAAGATCCACTCCACTGAGAAATGCCGTTAGGTCTTTTCATACACAGCCATGCTAGAAAATAAACAGTAGGAAAGGAAGAGAAAACATTCAAAACTCTTTAGTCTTTTTTACTTGGTTTTCCCTTGCACAAAGGAAACTTAATAGTGGGCAGAAGGAGACAACAAATGTTGGAAAGAAAGAGCAGATGGGAACCTGCTTCTACAGCAAGAACCTCACAGAAGAAAACAACCCCGCACACCACCTACAGTCATGCAGGATTCTGCTTTTGGAGGATAATTAGAAAACAAGCAAACCACAAAGTTTTAAAAGCATTTGACATGTTAAATTGAGCTTCATTTCAGATTAAATACCGTAACACTTCAAAAACTGAAAGAATAAGCCTAGCAAATGGCAAGTAAAGGTCTCAGTATTAGAGACAATGTAACCTTCAGAATAAACACTGTTTTTTCATGCATACATAACATTTCCACCTACCTCTAAAATTACAGATGCTTAAAGTTATTCTTAAAAAAATCCCAACCTTCAGGTTTTTTGCATAGACTAACTGAAGGACAACATTGTAAAAATACAAGCAGCAAGTGACTACTGGCGGGAGGGGAATAAAGGGACTTACTAGGGGGAGAAGACTCTTCAGCTCAATTTCCCCACACTGTGCTGGAACGAATTTCAAAACAAGACTCACTTTTTTTAAAAAAAAGTCATGTACACATTACATTTAAACATTTTAAACACGTAAATATACACATCTTACATTTAAACATGAAAAAAATTTTTTTCTTTTAAATATGAAGTGTCATTTAATGGCACCTTCATCCCAGTCCTCATCCCTGCCATCCTGTCATGAGGTGTCACACAGGCTTTTGGGGAGTATAAAGTGGTAAAAGTCAACGGACACACATCAGTAGTGGTATCTAGACTGATAACCAATGCTCTAAATTTCAAGTTTCTATTTTGCAAGAAGGGAAGAGTTCTCATTTCTTTAAGATAATACACACACATCAGGTTTTTTTGTTCTCAAGGAAAGTTGGTACCACTTAAAGCTTTTTCTGAAGTTACTCACAACATACAACAGGTAAAGATTCTTTTAAAATAAACTGCAAAACTTCTGTGCTTGTTTGCTTCTAGATTTTTACCTCCTATTTTTTTGAGCATGAAGTTAACACTTAACCTAAAGATGGCATGAGAATGCTAAAACCAGACTTACTCGGACATCAGTAGCATCTCCATGCCGGATAATGCTGGCCCACGTTGTCGGTTCACTGCTATTTTCAAAGTAGTGAAAAACCTTTAAGACTCGTTCCATGGCCCCTGGGGAACGCTCCATCCCAGTACTGAGGTGCGTCTTTGCACTTGAACTTGGTGTATGATTCAAGTTTGGATCAAGGTAAGCTGCTGCCATGGTTTTGCTAGATGCTAGGTATCTGTCATATTCTAGGAAAGGGAAACAAAAAATAAATTTTAGTTATACCTGAATCTTACACCGATTCATACAAAGCATTTCCCAGAAATCCATCCATAAAGACTCATTTTTAAAGGACATTTAGTTGCCTTTTTTGGAGTCCCCTCCTAACACAGTTATACATCTACAAACATAAAAATCCTACCCAGATGACTACCAGAGAAACCGCAAGCCCCTTGGAGCAAGGGATCTGAATTTGAATGCAATAATCATTAACAAAAGTGGTACCTTTGGCAAGACTTCTTCGTTTAGTTTCTCAATGACCTAACCCAGGCCCCTGTCAAAGCCTTCAAGACCAAAGAGCACTTTCCAGTTTAAACAGGAGTTCCCATCCCTAAAACCTGCCAAGTCTGGTCTTGCAACAAGGCTCTATAGATCAGCATAAGGAAACCTTGACAGCCCCGTCACCGAACTGGAGGCTCTCCACTAAGAAGCCGCACACCAAAGTCAAGCTCTCCTGTTTAAGACTAAGACATTGTCACATCACTGTATTTTGCGCTATTTTGGGAACCAATACAACTCAAACCCATCCAGAGGTAAATTCATTATTCATTGTGGAACCATTAAGACCACCACTGTCCCTCCTCTCATCATCTACTAAATAAGTGGCTGAGTTTTATCATCAACTAGCCCCGTTTCCAAGTGATTTCCAAGTCTGGTGGCAAAAGGCATGGACCATGGTGTGAATCTGCATCTCAAAGAAAAAAGAAAAACATTGCGTCTTGGCTACTGCCGCAAATTAGTCAGCCACAAGCAGATGGTGTCTGAGAAATCATTGCAGTACAAGAGAAAAAGAGCAAATAATACCTCCTCCCTCGCCTGACAGAGTCTCAAGCATCATTCCAGTCCGCTGGCTGGAAAGAGCAAAGAACTGCAGGGCTTTGCTCCAGCACCTGGACAAGTACACCAAGCTTTCTGTACCTTCCCCTCTTCACAGCGAGCAGCCAGCGGGGAGGCAGTTTTGGAAATCTGGAGAAGTTAAAAATAAAATAAACTTGATCTTTTTGGCATATCAGCCTGAATGCCTTTCTGTTAGTAAAGCTGGCCTGCGGAAGGGGGTTGGAGGAGAGTGAAACTGCTTCAGTACAGCTACTGAATGCCTGAGCCTTAGTTTACTCCGCTGCGAGGCAGAAGAGACACCCACGCTCCCAGCTGAGCTCCCCTAACGCCTGGCTGCCCCTCAACAGAGCTTCAGCCACCAACCTGCCACCTGCATGGGGCTCTCCTGACCTTCCCGACAACCACTTCAGGAAACTATTGGGAGGGGGGAAAAAAAAAAAAAGGTGATTTGGTTTTCAGGGTTGACTTAGTTTTACACCACAGCTGCCTGAAGTTGCCGTAGACATTAGACAAGTACAGAGGAAAAGAAGCAGAAGTATCTCGCAGAGGAGACGGTCTCCCCTCCAGCAGCAGCTAGCCATTACACCAGTTCACCAGTAATGTCAAACCACACCGTGAGCTCAGCTAACAGGAATCTAGCACCAGCAATATCAAGGTTTGAAATCTTCAGACTGTAGATAACATTTGCTAGAGGCTAAAACAGATCTCGAAGTTTAACACAACGATCTTAAGCATCTACCTAATTCAGACCCACAAAACAAAGAGGAAACAAAGGGCCCATTTTCCCAGTATGTCTTCACCTCTTGAATAAATGGTTGAATTGCATTCACCCAACAGAACTGTAGGCACTTAAAACTGGTAGTACTGGGTCAGACAAAAGGCCTCTAATGTCCTGCCTTCGGGGAAGATGGTGAGAGTAAGCCAAGGAGACACTTCTCCCAAACATTTCCCCAGTGCCTGGCCCATGAGGGACTTCCCTCACCTGCCAAGGGCTAGCTTAGTTTCATATCCCGTGTTGCCTCTGTCTGAAAACTCAAGAAACCATTATAGCTTTTGTGACTTGCTTTATTGTTCTCTTTTCTGGCAATCAGGACAAATATATTAAGCCAACCTTATGCCCACGTTAAAACCTTTCCTCCTATCCAGTCTACATCAACAGGTACAGATCTGAAAATGGTGGGAATCCCTCAGCAATGCTATTCTTGACTTACCCTCACCAAAGGAGCTTGCGAGCTGTTCTCATATAAACCTTGACCTGAAAGCTGAAGTAGGTATAAAAATCTCCCCTGTGGCAGACTAATACCAAGACAACATGACCGTACACGCTCCTAACTGCAGGGATCCTCTCCTGCAAGGTTAAAATAGCCGTCGTGAAACTCCAAATGTGCATAGGGTGAGGAGTTCCATCAGCACAAATTTGCGCAGACGAAGCCCTTCGGTAATGCAACTGCTAGGAACGAAATGGCACTTCTCAGGCTCGGACATGGGCCACTTAACTTCTGCATTATGTTCTGCCTCCTTCAAAACAATCTACCCTACCTCAAAGTCACCAGTGAAAATGCTAAGATTTCAAGCTTACTTATGCAAAGCGCAGGAAAATTTGCTACAAACCAAAGCGAGATGAGTAATTTTTTTTAGTAAAGGAGAGCTAAAAGAAAGCCTGCTTTAATATTAATTCACTGTATTCCATCCATGTAACATACACATTCATCAGGTTTTATTTGGCAGAAAAAGAACAGGGGAAAAACACAGGTAAATACCAAAACAAGCGTTTAGAAGATGTCTGACCACAGACTTAATACAGACAATCTACATCCTTTGGGAGCAGCAAACAGAAAAGTGATGAAAGACATCGGTTTCTACACACAGAAGTGCTCTTAGGCAGTATAATTTCAATGGACAGACAGAAGACTATTACCTTATTTTTCATATTCATCACATTGAGGGGAAAATGTGGAATCAAACATCAGACTGACCATACTGGGTATGGTCAGTTTTCACAAGGTTTTATGGGACAGAGGTTTTTAAAGGTAAAACAACCTCCTAGCAAAATCAGAAAAGCAGTTTTCCTTCAGAATTTGATCGTCATTGGGCTCCTTACAACTTCTTTTAAAAAAATCACGACGCTTATTTTACGAGGTACCAAAAGAGCAATAAATTTGATAGCTCAAGGAATGGAAACACACGCCATATCTCTGATTATGGACCTATTAACATTCCCGTTAAAACTAGCCCCTGGGTTTGAGTTTGTAATGTGACTGTAAAACTCTGCCCCAGGCCAAAACTTTGTAAAACATAGCTGCTCCTGATGCAAGGATAGTTAAACAACTATTTTACAAGATCTGCTTGGTTGTTTTATGATACAAAGAAAGCTAAGATTACAGGACTAGGACACTTATTTGGGCTCTTCTAAATCCAAACCAGACTGGTTTGTAGTCCTGCCATTACAGATCTCAGTTTAAGAGGGCAGTTTCAGTCTTCTTGGTATTAAATAGACAAGTAGTATGCTATTATGGAACAGAAACAAGCTACTAGAAGAAGGTACATTTAGATGAGATGTAAGTAAGAAATTTTGTACGATGAGGGTGGTGGGACCCTGGAACAGGTTCCATCTGTGGATGCCCCTGGCAGTATTCAAGGTTGGACAGGGCAACCTGGGCAGCTGATGTAGTGAAAGATGTCCCTGACCATGGCAGGGGGCTTGGAACAGATGATCTTTAAAGGTCTCTCCCAACCCAAACCATTGTACGATTCTACATTGTGCATGGAGACTTAATTCTGCTGTATTTTATTGGATATTGCGGTGAAAAAAGAGCTGGGGCACATCCAGACTAATGATCTAAAATCAAGCGTGGTCGAATCTGTTTGTATGCGAAGTTGTGTGCCAGTTATCCCTTTGAGCTTCCATGAGTAAAGACTACTGTTCTGCCAATACTCCCACTTTAGAAAAAAACATCCATTATTTCCCAGTACTGTAAAGACTTGGGGGGAGGACAGAAGTAAACCAGTCCTGGCCTGGTGATATTTAGTGGGTCTGCTATAGATGCTGTAGTTGTTACCAGACCATGATGCATGTTGTTGTTCAGATTATTTACTCTGCTGTGGCAGAGTACCTGAGGTTTAGGAAAGCCTATAGCAGACAGTTAAACGAGATTACAAGATAAAGCTTTTCAGAAAAATCAAAAAACCAACACCAAAGCAAAACCAACAGCACCGCGCTTCACAGCTTCTCAAATCAATTACAAGAAAGCACTATTTACCTTTTTTTTGTGCTCCTTTCTGTTTTTATACGATTCCATTTTGAATACCTGCCATTTTCATTACTTAGGTACCAGTTACATCAGGAAAGGATAAAAGTTGTTCTATTTTCTCAAAAAACACAAAATGATGAGATAACTAACCAAATCCTTCTAGCAGACATTTGCTGCTCAACATGACTCTTGCTGACACATCTTACGAGCACCGTATATTCCACACATTTGCTAACTACATCAGGAACAAACTCAGTATTATGACTTCCAGCAGCACAATCAAAGTTCAAAGTCATGTTTCACTACTAGCTCCGAGTACTTGAAAACTAAATAATTTCCATTAATGAGACAGTCAAAAATCATAAAAAATATTTAAATCACTTAACTAAAAATTGATTGATGAACTAATACAAAAGTTTAAGTAGTCTCATAAGGGAAATCATTTTAATGTCAATAACGTCTTCAACATTAGGAGTTTGATAATACATTAAAAAATAATAAAAAATAAACAAAACTGTTCCTCATACTAGCATTGGCAGATGGCCAACAACACAGCATTAACAAATTCATGTTACAAGGAACCAAGCTTTAACTATTCACACTGTGAATTCCTGTTGTCCTTTGTAGGTACCATGAAATTCATTATGTTGTTCAACCTCCTTATTCCGATCCTCATCTCAAGCTTGAAGGTATCGACATCCATGAGCTAAAGCCCCTTCCAGGTCACATTTCTGCAAAATCACTTGGTCCATCGCAATTCAAACCTATAAAAGCCTGTAAGGATCTATAAAATCTATTTAAAAATATAAGAATCTATAAAAAATACAACAAAAATTCAGAGTTCATTTCTTTCTCTGGTCCTGATGTAGTAATTCTACAAG